GTATGAGTGGATGTGTGCCGTATGATTTTGCTGCTCTCCATTATTTGTATTCATACTACTACACAGATGACAGCACCTGTCTGCATGCGTAAGGCAAGCGCTGCCCATCAATGTCTAAGCATACAGCGTGTAAAGAGGAGATAGAGGTGTGCGCGCAACTCTCTGCTGTCGAGGGTCAGATATTGCTCGGATGCTCTGCTGGTCGGTCGTGTGTGTATGTGCACGACTGCACCTAGTTGAACTTGCGTTATGTAGCTGTGTGCCTTGGTGAGTGAAATTGAATAAATTATAATTGTGCTGTGTACTAACAGAATCTAAATTCACTACCACTATCCTTCATACCATCCCCTGAAGTTTCGGCGGCTGACCTGATACATCTCTCTGCGGTCCTTCCGCAACAAATGGCGATCCTGCCAGGATAGTGGTATCTAGGGAAAAAGAAAAAGCCCGCGCGCTCTGTACTAAGAGCCGTGCAGTCATCACGCAGCGAAAAGACGTTAAGTCACACAAAAAGCAAGCACGCCCTGCACCAAGAGGCGTACACTCAAGAAAAAATTAACAAGCAACGTTACGCCACGAATTAAAAAAGTAAGCACGCCCTATACCAAGAGGCGTATCGTCAAGCATCAAGCATCCATCTTTAACACCGTAGCGCATGAACAACGGCCATTTTAAGTTTTGCAACTCTTGTGTTAAGTGCATCGGTCTGTGTTAGTGCGCGTGTTGGAAAAGGCAGCGTTTCTACGAAATCCAGCAGTGCTAACCAAAATAAAACACGGCATCATGCCTGACGAAGAAAAAGCAGAGGTTTTCAAACTACTTGATCAGTTGTACCCTGATCAGGCAACGGCTATAGAAGCATTATACCGTGCAATCGACTACGTAAAAACACTTAAATTTGAGCATCGAATTTTGCCAATTCTGAAAAGTCGATCGGATCGTCTCGAACAATGTTGGAGTCAATGCGAAGAACTAAATCAGAGTATCTGCTCATATGCCACTCAAGCCGGCACAAATCAAGGAAGCTACTTCACGGAAAAACAATTTCAAAATGCCGAGGTAGAGTACATCAGTGCCAAGGACCAAGTAGCCATCTGGACTCATGCAGCCAACCCACCAACTCGACAATTGACGGATCGGCTGGTCGGCGCGGAAATCAACGTCAATCTACCCAGGTTAAGCATACCTTCTTTCTCCGGTCAACTCACAGAATGGGTGCCGTTTCGTGACTCATTCACAGCGCTTGTGAGATCAAACGCGTCATTAAGTGATATCGAAAAATTGCATTATGTGAAAGCCTGCGTCAAAGGCGAAGCGAGCGAAATAATTCGTAACGTACAACTTGCTCACGGGAATTTTAATACAGCATGGACTTTACTCGAAGCTCGGTATGAAAATAACCGAATTGCCACTAGTGCACACTTTTCGGAAATTTTAAAAATAGAGCCCATTAAAAAGGAATCGGCTTCCAGTTTGTTGTATTTACGAAATACTGTTCAACGTAACCTCGCGGCTTTACAGAATCTTGGGTGTCCTACTCAATATTATGGCGCAATTATTATTCATATCCTTACGGAAAAACTTGATCCGCAAACTCAGCGTGACTGGGAGGTTAGTATTGCTTCTACTACTACCTTACCTCAATATGACACCTTTGATAAATTTTTACTAGAACGAATTCGGGTTTTAGAATCTCTCGGTCAAGCTGAGTTTCAAAAACGAAATGTTCATTCAAATCAAAAACAAGTAAGCAATCAGTCACAGAACCGGTACGATAAATCTAAACATATGGAAGTAACATCGTATATTGTAACTCAACCTGGGTTGTGTCCAGTATGTGACAGCGATCATAAAATCTATGGTTGTTCAAAGTTTGCAGGCATGTCTGTGACTGACCGCTTTGATCAAGTGCGTTCGTTGAATTTGTGTTTAAACTGTTTAGGTAAAAGGCATAAATCCATAGACTGTCAGAGCTCAGGAAGCTGCAGGAAATGCAAAAAGAAGCATCATACTATGCTTCATAGAGAAACACCTTATCAAAATAATTCAAATAATGAGAATTCACCTGCCCAGGGTCAAACGCATCCGATTGCTGACAATCCCATCCAAACTCATATTTCAATTCAAAGGCCACTTCAATCCCAAAAAGTACTGTTAGCCACCGCCAGGGTTTGGGTGTCGTCTCACACTGGTCGGAAAATTCAAGTTCGCGCGTTGCTTGATCAAGGGTCAACTTGGTCATTCTTATCTCATAAAGTGGCGGTTGCATTGGGATCTCCTTTGAGCAATATAGCTGCATCAATGACAGGATTGGGTGGCACCCCAGCTGGTAGTACATCTCATGCTATCAACATTAAATTGTTCAATCAGACTCACCAGCTTGTGTGTCAAACTCAAGCCTTAGTCCTACCCACAATCACCTCGTATTCTGCTCATGCACCTGGTCCATTGACCAAGTGGACTCACCTTAAAGGTTTAAATTTTGCTGATGATCTTTCAGCCACTGATGAAATTCAATTACTCATCGGGGCTGATCTATACGGTTCTATTTTACTTAATAAAATACGCAAAGGAAGGATCAACGAACCGGTTGCTCAACAAACAGTCTTTGGATGGGTTGTGTTAGGTCCCTGCTCTAATGTGAACCCCACTATAGAGTTATCTGTCCCAGTGCATCATTCAATAGCAGTAAATGATCTTGATCAGTTACTTCAGAGATTTTGGGAAGTTGAAAGTCTTCCTCAACAACCCATCATTTCTCCCGCAGATGAAGAGTGTGAAATGCACTTTCTCAAAACTCATTCGCGAACCAATGAAGGACAATATGTAGTTCGTATACCATTCAAGTTCAATATGGCTCCACAGGTAGGACAATCGCGATCAATCGCAGAACGTTTACTCAAGAAAGTCGAAACGCGTCTAAGTTATAATCCAGCACATCAGTTGCTTTATTCTGAGTTCATGAATGATTATGAGTCTCTCGGCCATATGACTCGCGTTGACAGTGGTCAGTCGAATAAATCTTCGATAATTTATATACCCCATCATCCCATTATTCGTGATCAAAATCCAACAACAAGGCTAAAAGTAGTGTACAATGCATCATGCAAAACATCTAATGGTAATCTGAACTCTTCCTCATCTTAATGCAATGGCGCTCGTATCCGTTGGTACTCGTGGCTGACATCACCAAGATGTATAGACAAATTTTAATTCACATTCTTGACCGCGATTACCAGCGCATACTGTGGCGTCCAACTACTAAAAGCCCTCCTGTAGATTATCAATTAAATAGAGTCACATACGGGACAAGGTCTGCTCCATATCTCGCTCTACGTGTACTTAAACAATTAGTTTTAGATGAAGGACTCCAGTACCCACTTGCTGCTTTAGTTTTAAATCACGACACATTTGTTGATGATATTCTCTTTGGAGCGTATAATCTTGAAGATGCCTTTAAGGTTCGAGATCAAGTTATTGCGTTGCTTGAAAAGGCTAAACTGGAATTACAAAAGTGGGCAAGCAATGATTCACGTTTGGTTTCGAACATTCACCCGACTGAATATGGATTAGAATGGAACTCTCTCTCCCACGAAAATAGAGGGGTCAAGGTGCTTGGATTGAGGTGGCATCCTTCCACTGACACATTCACATTCTCTCTTGACTTAGATCTGCCTTCCACATTGTCTAAAAGACAAGCCCTCTCAATTTTGTCTCAGTTGTTTGATCCTCTTGGTTGGATTTCACCAGTTGTTGTTAACGGCAAAATCCTCATGCAACAGCTCTGGTTACTGGAAATACCTTGGGACGAGGTAATGAATGATTCAGTATCTCGACATTGGTTTGATTATTTTAAATCACTACATACGCTTTCACAAATTCAAATTCCACGTTGGAATGGATTTCATGTGAATAATCAGTCAAGTGAACTTCATGGATTTTGTGATGCATCAAACAAAGCGTATGGCACAGTTGTATATCTTAGAACCATTAATGAATTAGGAATAGTGGGTGTGTCTCTTCTAGTCAGTAAAACCAAAGTCGCTCCTATCAAACAAGTGTCAATCCATCGATTGGAACTTCAGGCGGCATTGTTGTTAGCCCAACTTTGTACAGAATTGAGTGGGGCACGGGCATTTTCACATGTTCCTATCCAATGTTGCACTGACTCCAGCATTACATTAGCCTGGTTGAAAAGGCATGCTTCCACATGGAAACTATTTGTTTCTAATCGGGTAGCAGCCATACATGAGTTGCTCTCCGATCATCAATGGAGACACGTATCTAATCCTGCTGATTTAGCGTCTAGAGGATGCACTCCAAATGACTTGGCAACCAGTTCTCTCTGGTGGGCTGGGCCCAACTGGTTACATCAACCTCCATCACAATGGCCAATTATGTTCTTTGATCCTCCACCAGAAGATGCCATGGAAATAAAGGTCAAGGTACTTCATGTAGTTGATGATTCTAATGATCCGTTGTACATAGTAGTTAATAAGTTTTCGTCTTGGTTAAAGGTCGTCCGGATCACTGCATATCAACTACGGTATAAAAACAACTTAAAGGCAAAATCTCGCCACATTAATTCTGCAACCGGTGCTAAGGTCTCTGTCTGGTTTGGCCCTCTCTCATTGCAGGAATTGGATGAAGCAAAAATTTTGATATTTGTATTCTTGCAAAGACAAATGTTTTTTACTGAATTGCAAGCATTGCAAAAAGGTTTAAGTGTTCCCTCCCATAGTAAACTGTCGTCACTGAACCCATTCATTGACCAGGCCACTGGTGTTTTACGTGTTGGTGGACGCTTGGATCATTCTGCATTACCTTACGAGACACGGCACCCTGTTATATTACATGCTCATCTTTTGGTCTCATCCATTATTCGTTATATTCACATGCGGTGCCTACATGGCGGTATGAAACTTATCCTCAGTACTCTCCGGCAAACTATTTGGTTAATTAATCCTCGACCGCAAATTAAGTCTGTTATATTTAAGTGTCTTCCTTGTGCACAAATACGCGCCAAATTGTCATCTCAGTTAATGGCCGATCTACCAAAGTCCAGGGTAACTCCATCTTCCCGCGCATTTTCATCTTGTGGCATTGACTATGCTGGACCCCTTCAAGTACGAATATTCGATCCCAGCAATGTTATATCGGTGTCTTTGTGTGTCCCGAAGTTGAAGCAATTCACTTAGAATTGGTCTCAGATTATTCTTCTCCAACCTTCATTGCATCATTCAGACGTTTTATATCTAGACGCGGGACTCCCTCTCACTTGTACAGTGACCGAGGAACCACATTTCAAGAAGCTGATCATTTGCTCCATGAAAAGTATATCAAGACTGTTTCAAGTCTACCATTCCAGTCATTTGTGACTGAGGAACACATTCAATGGCATTTTATCCCCCCCGCAGCACCTCATTTTGGGGGAATTTGGGAAGCGGGAGTCAAGAGTGTTAAGACACATTTAAAGCGTGAGTTGTTGGATCAAACTCCTACCTATGAGGAGCTCACTACGCTTCTATGTCAGATCGAAGCAGTTTTGAACTCTCGACCCCTCGGACCTTTAAACGACTTGGTTGACGACTTGAACCCACTGACCCCTGGGCACTTTCTTACTGGGGGGACACTTAATTTAGTGCAACAATGTTCTCTCCTTGACAGCAATTCAAATCGTTTGACTCGGTGGGCTAGGATGCAACAAAATTTAGAACTGTTTTGGACAAAATGGTCCCATGATTATCTTCAGTCACTGCAACACCGCACTAAATGGCGGCTACCTGAAATGGAACTGAAGATAGGTCATATGGTTCTTTTAAAACATACCTAACTGTCCTCCTGCAAAGTAGAATATTGCACGTGTAATAGAATGCTTCCCGGGGTCTGATGGTCATGTTCGCACAGTGAAAGTTAAAACTGCGAAATCTGAATATTTGCGACTAATTACGGAGCTGGTACTTTTACCGATTGACCTTGAGGAGAAGGATTGTAATTAAGATTTATGACTCCATGTGATTTAAATTTATACTTTTCATGTTTGTTGTTTCTGTAAAAAAAAAAAAAAAGAAAAATAAATGGTTACTGTCATTTATTAATATGAACCGCTCCATTGATTGTATTGCTTAAATGATTTAAATTGGCTAATCGAACCGTTTATTGATAATTACTGTTTAATACGTCACTTTAATCTGTCTATATACGTGTATGTAAACTGTTCCTTTATTATAACTGATTATAAATTATACCCTACACGATGAGTTCATAGATATCTTTTGTTAAACTCAACACATCAATGTATCTAATTGTTGAAAATTGTATTTCAAGGCGGGCGGTTTGTTAAGGAAAAGGTATGAGTGGATGTGTGCCGTATGATTTTGCTGCTCTCCATTATTTGTATTCATACTACTACACAGATGACAGCACCTGTCTGCATGCGTAAGGCAAGCGCTGCCCATCAATGTCTAAGCATACAGCGTGTAAAGAGGAGATAGAGGTGTGTGCGCGACTCTCTGCTGTCAAGGGTCAGATATTGCTCGGATGCTCTGCCGGTCGGTCGTGTGTGTATGTGCACGACTGCACCTAGTTGAACTTGCGTTATGTAGCTGTGTGCCTTGGTGAGTGAAATTGAATAAATTGTAATTGTGCTGTGTACTAACAGAATCTAAATTCACTACCACTATCCTTCATACCATCCCCTGAAGTTTCGGCGGCTGACCTGATACATCTCTCTGCGGTCCT